TAATTCATTCTTCTCAGAAAATATATAAGTGGTGTATTTTACTGATTACCAACCCGTATGCCATTTCCGAATGGTTAGACCATTCGCTTGTTTCACCATGAAGCTCGAGTTTGAATATTACTATACATTGGGGCTATGATAAGTTTTTAGCCACCCTTAATTACGGCAATTTTGGCTTGTTTAATAACGTATCTTCTTTTTTTCAGATAATACCGTGTTAGTGTCAAGCTACACTAATCTATGAACGATAGTTGACTTATATTTTGCAATGAAAGTTCGTGGAAGTTAGGAAATTGGTAAATTTCACCGAGGGAAAATAATAGGATGGCATCAGTGTGGCAAGTCAATTAGAGAAATTGTTAGATTTTTCCAGGTTAATCATCAAACGCTTAATAATATTGTCAAGAAATTTAATGAAGAAGGCGATTGTCGTGTGGAACAATGTTCAGAAAGACCAATCATCGTGTCTGAGCGAATGAAAAGGGCGCTGAAGATGGAAGTCATCAGAAACCGTCATCAGAAAGCGTCGTCAGAGCGTCAAAGATGTCAGCAGCATGGAAAAGTCGCTATATACGGAGAGAAAGACTCTGAAAGATCTAGGCTGTCAAAGAAGAGTTGCAAGAAAAAAGCCCTTGATTTCAGAGGTTAAAAGGAACAGGCGTATGGACTGGGCCAGAGAATTCGAGAACAAAGTTTATGAATTTTGGCAGTCTGTAATTTGGTCAGATGAAAGTAAATTCTGCCAATATTCGTATTCGAGATATTTTATGTTTGAAGAAATCAGAATGAGACTTGGAACACTGAATGTCTGCAGACAACCGTGAAACATGGAGGGATTGGAGTAATGGTGTGGATCGCTTCTGGTTTGGAGAGAAATCTGAGCTGATTCTTGTTGACGAGCGGTTGAATGGTCTAAAATACTGTCAAATATTAGAGAAAGGAATACTCCCACTATTTGAAACCAATCATATTGACAAGAATGTCTACTTTTTTCAAGAAAATGGAGAGCCATGTCATACGAGCTAAGCATCAAAGGCCTGGAAGGAATCGCAAGGAATCAAGTCATTGTGATGGGTAGCCCAAAATCTTGACATGGATCCAATAGAGCAAGTTTGAGAACACCTTCACCGAAAACTTCGAGAGCGTGCAACGAAAATCATGTCAGTGGAAATCCTTAAAGTAACATTGATAAAGGAGTTGCAAAATATGGATTATACGATTGTTGATAACTGGATCAAATCCATGAAAACTAGCAAATGGCGGACTATTTCTAAATACTCTTTATTTATGTTGAGTTGGGATTACGTAATTAAATTTTGAAATTGGATGTAGTTTATTTCTCCTGACTTAAAACTTTTCTTAGGCCACTGGATTATCTCATTAATACCGGATTTTTATAAATCTCTTATTAATATCAGGTTTTATTTTAATTTTTTATAATTAATACCGGAGTTTAAGGTCGACATTAATAGGTTAAAATGAATGTCTTGTGCGGGTCAAATTCTCCAAGCCTTCCTTCCTTATTATGTATCCTAGAAATTTCAACCCTCACTTTCTGATTCTGAGTGTCCTTTTTGTTACCATTTTCTCTAAAACTACGTCGTTGCTCACATGTTCCTTCCATGCAATTCTCATCATCCTTCTGTAGAACCACATTTCTGTTGCCGCCAGTGATTGAAAATTGTCTAGCATTCACTGCCATATAGGATCATTTACATTAAATAGCAATTCAACACTTATTCTTCTTCTTTATGTGTCTTGTCCCCTCAGGACAAAGGCGATCATGGTTCTCCACAATTTCCCGTCTTTCGTAGCTTCTTCTATGCCTTTTTCTTCGATATATCCTGTAAGTGTCAAATTTTCCAAGCCATCCTTCTTTATCATTTGAAAAAAATTCAACTGTCTCAACTGATTCTAAGCAAAATTTCCTTTTTGTTTTCGTTTTCCTTAAGCCATTTTAGTTGCTTACATGTTTCATCGATGGTATCCTCAGCATCCTTCTGTAGAGCAACATTTCTGTTACCACCAGTCTTCTCTTTATCTAAGATAAATTTTGTCCAGCATTCACTGCCATATAGGGTGATTTCTTCTTTATGTGCCGTGTCCCCTCAGGACCAAGGCGATCGTGGCTCTCCACAATTTCCATTCCCTTGTAGCTCTTAATAAATTTTGTCGTTTTTTATTTCTCCTAAAACCTGCTCCGACATGCATTTATTCAAGCTCACTAAGTAGGTCATGCATTGTTTTCCTCTGACCCTCTTGCCTTCACTCTGTCCTGTGAGTATCAGATTTTCCAAGCCCTCTTTCCTCATTATATGCCCTAGAAATTTCAACTGTCTCTTCCTCATGTATAAGTCTTCTTTTTCTTTCCATTTTCTCAAATATTTCGTCATTGTTCACATGTTCGGTTCATGGTATCCTTACATCCTTCTGTAAAAGATTTATAAACAAACTTAAAAATAAGGCAAATCGGTTGTATTTATTACACTCTTTAGTTTTGAATGTGTGAAAAGTGGAATTAGCTCGTCACTTGCACACACATGCTTTGGGGAAGGCATGAATCCATCTCTTCTTACTCTACTTATGAATTAAATAGTATGGTAGACTGACCTCTCTAGCTTGGGGTGGCAACTAGTCTAAGTTAATGAATTTTAAACTATGGAGAAAGAAACTGGAAACCCTAGCTATCCCAAGAAATCATGAGGAATCACAGATAATAAACAAAAGAAAACTATGGAAAGTGTGGTATGGCGTTAAATAATGTGCCATGTTCCTTCAGGACGTGGACGATCATGACTCTCCACAATTTCCTATCCTTTGTATATTTTAGTAAATTTTATTTTTTTGTTATCTCTCCTAAATTCTGTTCTTCCATTCATTTACACCAGTTCATTATTTCGGCCATGTGTTATTTCTATCCCTCTTGCCTTCGGCATGTCCCGTGAGTGTCAAATTTTCCAAGCCCTATTTCCTCATTATGTGCCCTAGAAGTTTCAACTGTCTCTTTCTGATGTTAAGTATAAGTGTCCATTTTGTCACTTTGTTGTTGCTAACATTTTCCGTCCATGGTATTCTCAGCATCCTTCTGTAGAACCATATTTCTGTTGCTTCAAGTCTCTTCTTCATATTCTTTCCAACATTCACTGCCATACAAGAGGAAAGATATCACGTAACAGCAAAGTTCGCTATTAAGACATTAATTGACATTAATTTCAGTGACCTCTAAGTATGTGATATCATATTGGCGGAATATCTCGTCAGCTGTTGCAACTTCCAAATGGTTAAGATATAATATCACCACTTTTTGTTTTAGTTTCTCTTGGCATGTTCTTTCTTTATTACTCATTTTCTTCCTTTTTCGTTTTATTGTCGTGCCAGATTTAAAACAAATTACACAAGAAGTTTTCTGAATTGTTAGGGATTCATATAAAATGTCAAGCGATGAAATAAGATATCCCCTAAAGGCGAGTACAGAGCATTTCTCTCCTCAACTTGTGCTATTCAACTGACTTTAGAGCAAAAGCGCTTATCTCCTTACTAGGATCTATATCAACGTGCTTAGGGTATATTCTGTAGGGTGATAGTTAACAAGCTTATCTCGCAGTCTAATTTGTTAGTGTAGTGAGTTCGAACCTCACCAGGTACCCTAATACTATCATGGGCGGTCATGACTTTCCACGACTTCCAATCCCTTGTGGCTCTTAGTAACGTTTGACTCTTTACTACCCTTTCACTCTTTTCCGCCACCTATTCACACAAGCTACTCAGGCAGGTAGCTTACTGCTTTTCCCTAATCCCTTTTACCCTAAATATGCCTACACTGGGTCTCTAGAAGGTTAATAACATTTTAGGGCGTCTACTGTAGAAGCGATATTTATCTTCTTAAATATTTTTTTTAAATTCAAGCTCGTCTCCTCGTCCACTTTTTTAGTGTAGTGAGTTTGATCCACACTGAGTGCCCTGCCGCACTGGGTTCGTGCCTTACGAAATTTAAAAACTATTTAAGGTTTAGTCTAGCGTAATTCTTCGTTGTTCGCTGCTTGATTCGCACTGGTGCTACTTTATTGTGACCTTGTGCCAAACTAAGTTAATTTATATTATATGTCTGCATAATTACAGGTATAGTTCTGTGGTTACGACGTTTGACAGTTTTGTTACGCATTTGCAGAAAAAATATCTCGAGCTTTTAAAGTGAGACATCTTTTTTTCCAGATGTTAGTATAAAACACAGACATTTCCAATGAACAAGGTACACGTTATAAAGCCATGCTTTTATGCCATTCCTAGAATAATGGCCTCTGTCAGACTGGAATTCCAGAGAGGAATTTAAGACTTTGTGGCCATCTGTTTGGTTCCGTTACTGGGCTGTGTCAACAAATGTCTGTTTTTCCGTATGTATTACGCACGCATATATATATATATATATATATATATATATATATATATATATATATATAGAGAGAGAGAGAGAGAGAGAGAGAGTGTGAAAGAGAAAGAGAACAAAAGATTAAAAAAGAAAATACGGAGGGGTTTCTAGATTCAAATAAATTCAAGTGTATTTTTTTCTTTCTTCACACATAAACACACATGGACCATTATTTATATCTTTGTCTAGGAGGGGGTGCTGAAAATTTCTCGACCTTACCGATCAGAATAATCTAAGGCTTTGAAATGTATATGCTATTCCACATATTCACCCCTCAGTTCTACACACTTGGCACCACATTTATCAAGTTGATTTAAACTTTCCCAAAAATGTTGTCTAGTTATTGACATGCTATTCTGATACTGCTATCACTTCCGAATCATTCGAAAAACTCCTTTTAAGTTTTGGAAATAAGAAATCTTCAAATGTAGCAATATCTGAAGAATAGCGTTGATGGTCTGTGCACACAATCCTCAAATTCTTCAAAACATTTATCATCGTGTCAGTCTTGTAAATATTTGCATTGTCCCTCCAAAAGAGAATACCTTCTCGCAACCCTCTTTATTCTTCCAAGACCTCTATCCGTATTTTTCTTCCAATACCTATCCATTTTTGCTTCTGACGCCTCTCTCCATTTTCCTTTCAAAAACTGTGGCCGTTTTCATCTTCCAACACCTTTCTAACGTTTTTCCTTCAAATGCCTCTCTACGTTTTTTCCTTCCAACGCCCCCACCCCTTCGTTTTTTTCTTCTAACGCCTCTCATCGTTTTTTCCTTCCAACGCCTCTCCCCATTTTCTTTCTAACGTCTCTCTCTGTTTTTTCCTTCCAACGCCTCTCACCGTTTTTCCGTCTAATGCCTCTCTCCGTTTTCCTTCGGACTTAGCTCTCAATTTTTTTCCCTTCTAACGCCGTTTAACACCGTTTTTCTTCCAATGTCTCTCTCGCCATCAGCAGCATTTTCTTCCAATATCTCTCTATTTTTTTTCTTTCAACGTCATTATCCGTATACAGGATCTTTTCTACGGACTTTTGGATTTTGAATTTCTTAAACTGCAAATAATTTGAGTACCACCTCTGCATGGGATGTTATTTGGTCGATGGATCATAGTGATGGAACCATATTTCTTCAACAGTGACAAATCATTTAAAATATCATTGCTGAAATTGCTGTAAAATCAGATCTCTATATAATTTGTCGTCTACATTTACACATCAATTAATATTAACAGCCAAAATGACAGCAAATCAACTCCCTTCAAATGAGATCTTAATACGCAACCTTCTTTTTTTGTCAAATTGTAATTTCCGACTTGCAGAAATGAAAAAGATACTAGAAAGCATCTAAAGCATGAATATAAGAGACATTTGAGGAAGTCTGAAGAATACATCGGTCGAAACGTTGTATTAAGAAAACTATACATTGAAGTCATATAGTATTCTTAATATAATTTTTTTTTATTGCTTATCAACTTTTTACAGATTATTTAAAGCCACAAAATATTTTTATATTGTAAGAATTTTTTGGAGATAATAATTATTTACTGGTAAAAGTCCTACTAATTAACCCATAGCCATGGGGAGAAGAGATGGATTCATACCTTTCCTTATGTGCCATGCCTGATACGTGCTTTGGCGATCGTTTCTTTTTCATTCATGACTGACTTAGCAGAAGAATTTCTGCAGTAGGCTGTCGTTACTTTCTGCAGTAGACTTGGTTGCCAACCAAGGCTATAGGACTCCGTCTGTCCTGCTTTTTAACCCATAGCTGGGTCGAAAGAGAAAAGATAAATTCCTACATTTCTCAAGAAGATTTGCGCTTAAATCAATGTAACGGACTCGACCGGAATTCGAACTGGTCTCTCTGAGTACTCATTCCGAGCCGGCATCTGTTACACCCCCACGAACATCGACCCACGCACATCCTGACAGAATGACTAATACAAATATTTATTTTAAGCTATTTAGTTCCCAAACCAAAAAACCTTTTCCTTTTTTCCATCACATATTTCACATCAACTTTTTCTAAATATGTCCTGCTTGTCTGATTTTGTAGGTGAAATAATTGCACCTAGAAAGTTGGAATACTGGAGCAACATAATCTTCCTAACTCTAATTTCTACTCAATTAATTTTATGCTTTGCTCAGCAGAATTTTTTTAAGTGTCTCTTGTCTGAAATTGGCAAATTCAAACTGGTTCCCTTAAGGAAAGGTTTATTCGGTGTATACGTATGTATATATCATTCTTAATGATATATACCTATCTACCTCTTCATACATTCCAACTCTCACTCCTCCCAATCCTTTACCCTCAGTGGAACATGTGTGCACCCCTCGCCATTAACGCGTTCGCCTACAGACATAAACAAACCAAAAATTGGTCAGACTCGTCTGGTGAAGAAACACTTCCTTTTACATCGCGGCTTTAAACTTTTTTTTTTTTAATTTTATTATCCGAAACTTATGTACACATGTCTCTGAGGACTCAGAGAAAGAAAAATTAGATCTATCATACGCAGTTTTTAGGTTTACGGCCATATCATGTTGAAACATCGGTTCCCGTACGATCACTGAGGTCAAGCAACGTCGAGCCTGGTCAGTACCGATATGGGTGACCGTTTTCGAATAAAGAATCTTGCGAGTGTTTAATGCATAACGGCTTGGATTTGTTAATCGGAGAACCGAGTTCCAATCCCAATTGGGTTCGTTATATCCACTTACGCGCAAATACCCATCGGGAAGTTATGAATCCACCTCTTCTCCCCCTAACTATGGGTTAATTAGTAATTCTTGTATCACTAAATCATTATTAGCTCAAAAAAAAAAAATTCTTACAATCTAAAAATATTTTCTGGTGTTAAATAACCTGCAATAGTTTAGTAAGCCGTAGAAAAATTAATGAATCAATTATTAAATTAGATAATGTGTCTGTTAATATTTATTAGATGTTAAAAATATTTTTCATGGATATTTATAATTTTTTATATTTGCTTCCTTCATAATGTAAATAAACTTTTAATGTTTAGAATTAAATTACAAAGGTAGCTTTAAAAGTAAAGCCTCTTATTTTATTATATTGAGTCGTGACATCAGAATTGCATCAATTAGCATTTATCAATGCTCGGTGAACAATTATGGAGACGAAACAGTATATGTGAAGACAAGTTAGTTTGAGGGAAAAGACATTTTAGCGGCGAGTGTAACAAGTTAAGTACTAAATAGTCAATTCGTGCTGTCAACCCATGACATCAAGGACACACGTAAATGCATGACCAATTGTAGTGTCTATTTGGGGGAAAATAGCATTTTATGGTTGGAAACCTATTTAATCGAATGATGTTACCGTGCTCACTCTATCTGTTGTAGTTTCTGTTTAAGTAAATAGGAGACACTACTTTCGGAGCAACCATTGCAGTTAGTGTGGGTGGCAATAATTTATTTAAATTTCAATCAGTCAATCCCTTATCATTTTCTTTTCATTAATTTCATAGCTGAAAATATTTGTTCACATCTGTTTGTTATTCCAAACTGGTAGATGTAATTTGAAACAATTTTTTTTACTCTGGAAAATGTTCATAGGTTAACGTTCAACAGAAACTAATAAGGTCAAAAACATTTGGAGTTAAGGAAAAACTCATCAAATTTCATTTTCAATAATGATTTTTTTTCTTAGCCAACAATTCCATCTGTATGTTAATAAGAATCTTCATGTATTTTGTTCACAAAGTCATCATGTTAGGTTAGCTTCTTATTCTGCAATTCGTACGCCCTGTGTTTGGCCAGTCATGTGATTCCAAACGGCCAATCAGTGAAGCTCTGTCTGTACAGAGAGATGGTCTTCGAGTAAACGCTGCTAAAAGAAGATGCACTCCTTATGCGTGGGTAGAAAAGCTACTTGTAAAATTTACTCGTGAGAAAAAACAGTTTTATGGCATCACGAGTTTTCCTTTTCAGGGTTTTAGAGAAAGCATATAACACAATTGTTAGCATATTGTGTCATTTACATTCAGCCAACTTTTTTTTTATTTTTTTATTTTTTACTGTACATGTTTCGATGTTCATCTTTCAACAAATCATATAATAGAAAAACCAAACAGCATTTATTTGGTAAGCCAAAAATGCAATTATGAAATCATTGTGGTTTTTCTGATTCTTCACTGAATTTGCGCTTACTATCATTTTTTTTTGTTTTGTTTTTCACCTGCTCATTTTCTTTGATACTGTTGTTAGATTAACTTCCTTTCCCCATCTGCAATTAGTTTGCACAGTGTTTGGCCCGTCATGGGAATCGCTCTACTGAAACAAAGCCTTCAGGAAGACACTGCTAAGAAAAGTTGCACTCCTGATTTGTAAGTAGAATGTTGAATGAAAAAAACTTTTATAGCATACGCTAGCTTTCCTTTTCAGGGTTGGAGAGAAGGCATATAACATATGTTCGCATATTTTCTAGAAAGAAAATAAAAATAAAAGAAAATTCATTTACATTCTTCCAACTTCTCTCTAATCGTTTTTTTGTAAATGTTTGGATAATAATCCGCTCTTAACGGCCTGATAAAACTAAGACCACTATATTATAATCGGTTGCTCAGCAATTGGTTTACAAATGTAACAATGGAGTCTTTGTATCATTTTTCTCATTTTTAGCTGAATTCACTTTTACTATCATTTTCTGTTTTTCTCTTGGTCATTTTTTTTGTATTTTGACGAGGAAATGAATTTAAAAAAAAAGAAGAAAAAATTCAGATAAGTATAACACTGTAAGCATTAACAAAGTACAACACCGTACCACACAAAAGGTCAATTATAAACTGATTACCAAATATCACTGGACTGTAATACGTTACATCGAATGCAATATTTTTCTAACTTCTGTTTACTCTTCTGTTTTCATCTTCTGTAGTTGGTAGAAATATGAAAAGAATAAAACTTTTAATTATAAACATTTGCATATTCTAGTATCGAACATAAAACTAGCTTAAGATCACTTTTATTTTTTACACTATTTACAATGTTCGGGCTGTTGTCCTTATTTTTTATTTTCATACTCACGACATTTCGGTTGTTGTACGCCCCTGCCTTCTTCAGGTGATATTCGTTGGAATTTCGAACAGAACCCTTTATTTAGTCCACGGGGGGGGGGATATTATTCTAGTTCCATGTGCCATGCCTCTTTCGGATAACTCAGTTACTCTTATCTCCCTTTAGTAACTCGACTCTCCAAGGTTTTTATTCACCTCCGCTGGAGACATGTCCCGTTGGGTAAAAGCGTTGAAGGTTGAAGTAACCCCAAAAATAACTTTACTCAAAGAGTTGTGAGTTCAATACCTGGTCACCTCAGAGGTGAAAAAAAATCTATTTTTTGCCAGGGATTTTGTTAATGTCCAATTGTTTCTACTTTTGAACTAGAGTTGGACTCTCAGACATTTTTTTATTTTTTAAATGCTATTCATTCTTGATAGTGTTCTCCATGCCATTGTAATTATAACATCTTTTTTGTTAGTAGTTCAACCATGATACCATTTAAGACAATTGCTGAGCACCACCACAAAATACCACGAAGCTTTAGAGTATATGTATAGCGATATAACTGAATATCTTTGCTAAATCTAATCATATGTTTTCGTGACCGAATTGATTAAGACGCCGTCCATAGAAATCAAACTTTTGGAATGTGATAAGAGCATTCAAAACTACTTGGAAGCATCTTCTTTAATCTTACTTTCCGCTCAACTTAGAAAGTTATAATAACAAGACGTAATAAGATAATGAAATGACCATCTGAAAAGTAATATGAATAAATATTCCATATCAAAATTCAAATAATTGAGGGAAATTTTTGTTTGGTTTTAAAATGCTGACTTTTACATTTTTCAAATTTTGATTTCATTGATAAAGTCAAAAATTAGTAAACGAGTAATAAAAGGAGGCGGACATATAACCAAAGTAACATTTTTGTAAACTAAACAGAAATGTCGTATGGGGGGGGGGTCATCACGTGATAAGAAGGCGGGAATAGTTCGGGAATTTGCATTTTGTCTTCTACTGCCACATTGACGCTTAATCTTTTGTCTCTCAAATATGTGAGGACATTTCCTCTTGCATTCTTTAACCGGTATTCGCCGTTGGGTGTATTTGGACAACAATTTTTAGTTTTTTGCAACTTTCATAAAATCTCAGACCTCGAACCCAGAATAATAAAATATATTTCACAAAAAAATGATTAAATTAAATTAATTATAACTCTCAGGTGACTACGTGAAACACGATAAAGGTCAACACGCGAAACATAATGTTCAAAACATAAACTGATGACATAGCAGACAAAAAAACGTGATGTTAGCTGAAAGTACTCTGATATGGGAAATTTCATTTTCCAATCTTCTATGTGCTTTGCCTCTTGATAACATAGGCGGTCATGGCTCTCCACAATTTCTTTTCTTTGTAGCTCTTAATAAATTTTGTCTCTTTACTATTTCTCCTAAACTCTGCTTCGCCATCCATTCACTCAAGCTCATCAGGTATGTCATGTATTGCTTGCCTCTGCCACTCTTGCCTGTTAGTATTAAAAAGTTGTAAGCCCTCTTTCTTCATTAACTGCTCCAGAAATATCAACTGTTGCCTCCTGAAGTTAAGTATAAGTGTCATTTTTGGTTTCATTTTCTCTAGAACGTCGTCGTTGCTCACGTGTTCGGTCCATTTTATTCTCACTATCTTTCTGTAGAATCACATTTCAGTTAATTCAAGATTCAACTTCATCTGTTTCCAATACCAACTGGAAATTAGAAAATAATAAATTAGAAATAAACAAAAGTAAGCAAAATGGAATATTCGCAGTTTTTAATGAAACTTGCCATAATACGCATTTAGACAAGAGTGCGGGTAATTTTTGAAATTCCTTCGTATATATATATATATATATATATATATATATATATATATATATATATATATATATATGAAAGAACGAAAAGAATATAAATTCAAACGTTCATAACAAAGGTAGAACAATAGATATTTATTATAAACTTTTACATTGGAACATGCAAGTTACCACAACAAAATGGATATATGTTTCGATGTCTAATTTAAACATCTCATCAGGTGGTTAACATTGGTGGTACAAATATGCATTTTTGTCGTAACTTGCATATTCCAATGTAACAGTTTATATATATATATATATATATATATATATATATATATATATATATATGTGTGTGTGTGTGTGTGTGTGTATGTGTGTACATATATATATATATGTATATATATTTAGGCAGTATATCTTCCTTCAAACGTGTTTCATTGAATAATATAGACCGATTATGTCTATTTTTATACTGATTCTTTCCGGTTCTGTAATCAATTTCTTGATGTCAAGATGAAATTCGTCAAGGCAGGCGCCGTAGTTTTATCCTACCCAAGTACTTTCGATCTCCTCAAAGATTATCCTCAGGGATGAATTGCAAGTGTAGCAGCAACGTATTGAAGTGAATATAACAAACATTTAATGCCATTTTGCAATTCTAACAATTGCCGGCCAGCTCCCTTATATTGGAACGCTTGTTTTGCAAAAACTTCCATAGCTGCAACGAATAAATTTTAAAAAAATACGCGTTTTTAAAAAAT